GACAGACACGTTGGTGTACGTTCAGGAGATCGCTGTGTATAACGGATGCTGGCGTCCAGATTATCCTAGTGTTTTTAGTGTGCACACATTTGATGGTAACTTGTTCTGGTAGTGCGCACCATGTTTTCATCTAGTTCAAAAACCTTTCGCCAACTTAAAAGGTAAAATGTTACTTTGGGTCTCAGATCAGCAGGTGGAACCCTCATCCTGTGTAACACAAAACAGGGTGTACAATAGAGTATACAGTTAATGAAGTACAATGCAAAGGAAGTATAGTTAAAAATATAGTTCGCAAAAGAAGAAAAAAAACAGGAATACCATTTTATATAATCTAGGTGCTTGTCAAAGAAAACTGGTCATAATTAAAACGTGCAATTATGTTAATAGCGGGAAATAATTAAATTTAAGAAAACTAACTAAAAGGTAAATCAACGAACTTAAAAAAAGTAAACTAAAGTAAGCGTAACTCACTTACCTAAAAAGATTCCAAAAATATAGCAAAAAATAGTAAAAATAAAAAGCAACTGAAAAATTAACTGAAAACTGAACATAAATCTAAATATGTTTAATAAAACCAAATAACATAAACTCACGTACAGTTTCCGTGCATGTAAATTGAAGATGTGCAAGGCGCTTCGCGCCACGAACTATACCAATCTAACTGCAGAACGGTAAATTGGACCTTAGTTACATTTAAGTAGACGGCCTGCTTAGTAACAAATTTTTTTCAGAAGTATAACGAAACCCGATTAACTATAAGCTATAGGGTTGTAAAACTGTCCAAAATATTCACACCCACTAAGTTATTATTATGTCAAAAATGTACGTACATTTCTATGTTTATGACGGGCTATTTTGTTGCGGCCAAAAGTAGGATTTTACCAAATAATGTAACGGATTAATTTCTGAAAAAACGGTACACATACAGGTTGGTATTGCAATTGCTCTCAAATTCACAGTTCGAGGAATCATGAACCAATTATATAACCTGAATGCGGCGGACCCATGCTTATCATTTATGGTAGGAATTTAAAGTACATAAATGTCTGCTTATAGTCAAGCCTTGTCAGTTGTGTCGTGGGTGCTAATGCATACACGCCGTGCTGGGTTTGAATTTTGACATTCCTTAGTGCCACTTCATTTCGGAATTGTAATGTGCTGTTAGAGAAATATGTTTACCGGCAAAATTGTTGATCCATCACTTTTGGATGAAAACGTTGCTGAGTTGGTAGGAAAATTGAACATTTACTCGCGAAAAGATGCGGAGCACATCAATCAATTCAGAGAAAAATAAAAAAA